TAATATTCCCTTATTATAACGGGACAGAAAATAACGGGAATGAGAAATTTGGGACATAATATCTTCATTTTTTTCCGATTTAGTAAGATTTCGGAAATTATTATGTTTTTTATTCTCAAATTTTCCATTTCCGTTATTTTTCGTTCCGTTATAATAAGGGAATACTTCGGGTATTATATTTGGTTTCCCAAATTTCTCATTCCCATCCTGTTTCCTCAATTCATGTCCCAAAACCCGAAATGCACAAGGTTAATCAAAATGCAACTTTTTGAAACGAAGGTTTTTTGTAAAACAAAAATAGTTTAAGGTTTTTTTTCATAACTACTTTTTTTTTAAATATTTCTGATAATGTCACATCATGGATATAGACAAAGGCTATATTATGTGTGACTTTTGAGGTAAGTGGTTTGGCTTGTATTTTTTTGAGATGGGATTTTTCTTGCAAAAATAATTTAGTTTGAGATTTTTTTTTTGCACAAACCCCATATTAATATGGTAGATTGTTGATTTTAGATTTGTTAGATATTATTGACCATAATAATTTTCCAAAATAAATATGAGCCGGCAGCATTAATCAAATTCAGAAGGGAAATTATGGTCATTAATACTAACAATTCTAAAATTAATAAACTACTATATTAAAATCTTGGCAATATGACTGAATAACGTGCTAATATCAAAAATGTCGTATGTCATCTACACAAACCTAATTATTTATACCAGATTGTTCTTTTCCTAATTCGATCATCCAATACATATCAAAATCATTTGTTTTTTTTTCTTTCTAAAGGAGCTTCAGTGACAGCTTTTTTACTTTGAAATCTAAATTGGTATTTTTTTTTAATTCTCATCGCAAACAGAGACTTTGTCAGAGCTGATGTTCCGAGGTTACTTTCAGTTAGTATTATTTTGTGGTTTGACTTATTTGTTATTTTTTCTTATGTTTTTTATGCTAATTAATATTTGTATTCCATATCTATATTATTGTCCATATTTATATGATACTAAAGGGTTTCAAAGTGGTGTGGTTTCGAAAATAATATAGATATATATATATATATATATATATATTAAAAAGTATATTTTTGAAAAGGTTTTAAAGTGGTGTAATTTTGAAAATTTATAAGGTTTAGTTATAAGGTTTATGATTTAGATTTTAGAATTTAGAATTTTTTTTTGATAAATAGAATTTAGAATTTAGGGTTTATATATCTCTTCTTCAATGGAAATGTGTGTATATATAGAGTATAAGATGAAGTAATTATTAACAAATATTCTAAAAGTAAAATTATTAAATTAGAGTTTTTATAGATCAGTATACAAGTTTTGTTTTATTACTAAAGAAATGTTTTTTTAAATTGTACATAAACTATTAAACTAATGAAAGTGAATTTGTATGAGAATTTAAATATTTAATCATAATAACTAGAAAATGATATGGGCGTTGCGGGATTTAAGTTATTATTATGTTTTTAAATTTTCGAATTTTATTGTAAAACACTACACATGTTTCAATCCCGGGTCCTTTCAACTGATAGGACTTTCGTAGCTTAACATTCCACACAAGGTCCAACTCTGTGATTCTCTTCAGACAAAAATCCTGAGCTTAAAGCATAACTTTATGTCCTCTTCTTTGCTAACCGATCAATTTTTCATTTAATGGAATAAAGTTGGTAAATCATTAAATTTATTTATTGTCTAAAGAAATTATTGCAAAGATATCTAATCTGTTACTGCTTCAGAACTGTTCCAAGATCTAAAACTACAGTCCAATCCAAAGATCTCAACTTAAGGATGAGATGGACCCATCGTTTGTGGGGCCTGTATCAATCTTAATTCATACAGTACATCATAAGAGCCGTATGAGCTTATTACACCTGAAACTTTCTAAATTAAACCGCTTCTAATCAAGTTTTAAAATACAGCGTGACCGGAAAGATCAAGAAAGTGACGAAAGTTTCTCGTTGATTCATAAAATGATGTTTCCGTTTATGTGAAAGACATTCATTTTTTTTTCGAACATACGATTAATTAAAGATCTAAACACGAAGCGTATTCTCGAAGTTTTAAGTGTACGATACACGTTTCTTTTACCCTTCTATTTTTGTTTATTCGCTTTGTCCTTCATTAGTTTTGACTTTTGACCGTATATTTATGTTTTGAAACTAAAATAAAACTGGGGAAGAAACACATAAGATTGATTATACGACATCACTTTATAATCATTACAGTCAAGATACTCAAGACTAATGAGAAAAAAATATAGTACGATAAATATGTTTTTAAGAACAAACATGGCTTTAACTAATAAGCGTCGTATATTCAAAACTACTTCATCTAACATATTTATGAGAAAAGGAACCTAGTTCTCATTTGTAACATATACTGTATGTAACAGGTTAATTCCCATGATTTCATATTTCATGCTAACGTAAACTTACGGATCTCCAAGGAGGCCGCCATATAATATGTTAAATAAACCAAGCTCATAATTATTAAAAAAAAAAATTTGTATACATACTATACTAGTACTGCATTACTAGAGACATTTTTTTTTTTAACTTCAAAATACGAAAAATACAAAAGAAGTAAGAAAAATAAGAGATGGTGTGGTCCATATGATGGGTATACTGCTCAAATTGCCTTACTAATCAAGCAACCTCTTAATTCCTTTATCTCTCTGCAGAAATTAAAATTACAATAATCAAAATATGAATACCAAAAGAATAATGATCACTTCCTCCAGCTCGATGCCCATGTGACCTCTCTTCCTCTTCTCGTCTTTTTTTTTTCTTTCTATTCTTCTTTTTTTCTTTTTTACTTTTTTTTTTGTTTTGTTTATTCTCTTCTGTTCTTAAACTTGCACAAATTCAAAATTATTCAGTTAACTACTTAACTAGAAGTTATTAGAGGTTTTGTTGACGACTATACTGACGTTTATCACACACAAAAATGTTAACTAAACGTATATTGAAGTAAGGGACTATATTGAACTATAAACATTTTTTTTCAAAACATATTTTGTTCATAAAGAATTAAGATTGGATATTCTCAGTACTAAATCCATGTAGTAAATTTAGATATAAAATACATGTGCATGAGTAATGTACATATATATCCTGTAATACGTTTATGTATGATACTATCGATATCTATTTTTTTTCTTGAAGTTTCATCATCTAAAAGGACACAACTTTGATAAAGTTTATAGTAATGAAAATCCCAATTTTTCCAACATGAAACTCACATTTAACCATAAAGATGATACCATTTTGAAATCTTTTGATGTAAATCCATACCACTATGTAACATAAAAAAAATGTAATAAATTTCGATGTTTTAAGGATAGATAATATGCAATATGCATGTGTACACTCACATATATATAGACACGTATACATGTACAGAAACATATAATATACTTTGGATAAAAGCATTCATCAACCAACGCATAACATATTTTGAATATACAAAAGTGTATGATTTTGAGATAAATGTAAACAAACCGCTTGAAAGACTCATAGCGGCTTCTTAAACCAGCAAAGGCAAAATAAAAGGTGGGTCAGTGAATGGGTTTCAGAGCCACCTTTTCCTTTTTCTCGCTTACTTCTTCAGTTAAAGTTCGAGATAGACACATATGTACACATATATCTATATACTATCTTATATACTTGATTTTTTAATTCCCTGAAAAAATCTCCTATGTTTTTATTAATTTATATTTTATACCCTTCACATCCCAAACTCTCACACTTTCTTCTTCCTCTCCTCCTCCTCCTCCTCCTTCTCCTTCGTCGTTTATTAATTCTCTCCCCTCTTTGCCATCTTTCTCTCTCTTTCGTGATTTTCTGTACTGTCTAAGATCTTATTCTGCTCGACCAAGTTTGTTCCTTTTAGCATAATTTGAGGGTTATTTCCCCATAAAATTCTTACTTTGTCTTGTTCTTGTGTCGGTTAGGTTTTCAAGAAAAACCCTCTTTTGTCTTGTCTCCTCAAAATCAGTGGTGTATTCTCTATAAAAAAAGAGGGTTTATTCAAATCTTCTCTCTCTAGTTACTCTCCCTCTCTCTCTCGGTATATATATCAACTCTCGGGTATGATCAGAAGAGCTTTATTATTATCTCCACACCTACACGCAGACGCGTAAGAGAAAATTGATCAAGAAATTAGGGATCGAGATGAACAAGAGTAATCATGCTGGTTCGGTGACCGGTTCGGATATAATTGACGCAAAGATCGAAGAACATCAACTTTGTGGATCCAAGAAATGTCCCAGCTGCGGCCACAAGCTCGAAGGGAAACCAGTAAGTCATATTCCCTTTTTTTCTGTTGTTCTATTTTAATATACTTAAAAATATAAATTATTTCTTCCATCTTTTTCTCATTTTAGGTCACTTGTAATTGTTTTTGTAAGAAAAAAAAAAAGAAAAGAATCAAATGAAGAACATCAAGAATGATGCTCTCTGTTTTATTCTCTCGCTTGCAAGAAATTCAAAATCCAAATTTTAAAGCGTATATGTACGAGTCTTTATATGTATAGTTGTATATACTTATATTCTCTTGTACTTTTTTCTTTATCTCATTTAAATTTATCTCTTTTATGCTTTTTAGCAGGATTGGGTTGGTTTACCAGCAGGAGTGAAATTTGACCCAACGGATCAAGAATTGATAGAACATTTAGAAGCAAAAGTCTTAGTTAAAGACATTAAATCTCACCCTCTCATTGACGAATTCATCCCCACCATTGAAGGCGAAGACGGCATTTGCTACACTCATCCAGAGAAACTCCCAGGTACATTCGCACATGCATAAACACCTTCGTTCATATATCTTTTATTAGTTCATTATAATATATATATATTTTTTACTATCACTATATATAGCGCATTGGGTCATACCAAAGTTTGATATTTTTTAGTTGGGTCGCACCAAAGTTTGAATCTTAACTTATATATATTTTTTTTTCACATATACAACTACGTAAACATTTCATCGCGTATTGTATATCTTTCATGCAGTCCATATGTAAATCACATATTTGGCTATCTTACATCATATATATGATTGTTTGATATGACTATATGGAGATTGGAGAATGTGGTCATACCAAAGTTTAAATATTTTTTCAGTTGGGTCTCACAAGAAACATATAACTTTTAATTACTTTTGTCTTTTTTCTGTTGTGGTAGGAGTGACTAGAGATGGTTTAAGCAGACACTTCTTTCATAGACCATCGAAGGCGTACACAACGGGAACAAGAAAGCGAAGAAAGATTCAAACGGAATGTGACAATAATATGCAAGGAAGTAGTAGCTCCGGTGAGACGAGGTGGCATAAGACCGGTAAGACAAGACCGGTTATGGTTAGCGGCAAGCAAAAAGGTTGTAAGAAGATTTTGGTTTTGTATACAAATTTTGGTAAGAATCGAAAACCGGAGAAAACCAACTGGGTAATGCATCAATATCATTTGGGGACACATGAGGAAGAGAAAGAAGGAGAGCTTGTTGTGTCTAAGATCTTTTATCAGACTCAACCTAGACAATGCAATTGGTCATCTTCTACATCAAGCTTGAACGCTATAGGCGGTGAAGGGAGTAGCGGTGGAGGCGGCGGAGAGTATCATATGAGGAGAGATAGTGGAACTACTAGTGGTGGGAGTTGTTCTTCGTCTAGAGAGATTCTTACTGTTAATCCTCCAAATCGATCTGATGAAGTAGGCGGCGTTATGGCTGTAGCGGCTGCGGCGGTTGCAGCTGGTCTTCCGAGCTATGCCATGGATCAACTTAGCTTTGTTCCGTTTATGAAGAGCTTTGATGAGGTATCACCTTTATTTTTCATTTAAGATCTCGTTTAATTAAAGAAATATTAAACGTGATACGTACAAATATAAACAGAATTAAAACATATTTTCCCCTATAGAGAATTTTTTTTCTTTAAAGAAATCCACTCCTGATTTGACTAGAAATTACGTCTGTCGCTCTCGCATGAGACTGTGAGAAAAGAGATGAAGGTAATTAAGAAAATGATGCTTAGGGTTATTCTTTGCTTGAATTGCAAGTAAGGAATTCTCATTTTAACCGTATATATATCTGATATTTTATTAACTTTTTCTCGCAATATTATGTATTTACAAGAAGGTTTTAAACAATCAATTTAACCGACGTGATAATAATGGCGGTTACTGATAATTATTTTTTAACTAACAATATGACCTAAAGTTTTACCCGACGTGATAAAATCAGAAAACAATGTCTAAACCGCACCGGCCAAACAAGTAACTGATAAAGTAACTGAAATGAAACTCAAATTATATAAATATTTTCAATTATTTTAGTTAGCAATTATTTTTTTTATTATAATTTTCAGGTGGCGAGGAGGGAAACTCCGACCACCCAAGCTACATGTGAGGATGTTATAGCAGAACAACATCGTCTTCGTCATCATCGTCATCAGGCATCACCATCATCAACATCACATCATGTGGCTCACGATCATCACCATCATCAACATCACCATCAACAACAACAACAACGGCATCATGCATTCAACATAAGCCAGCCTACACATCCAATATCAACCATCATTTCTCCATCTACTTCGCTTCACCATGCCTCCATAAATATCCTTGACGATAACCCTTATCATGTTCATAGAATCATGCTCCCAAATGAAAATTATCAGGTAAGATGACTATTTTATTTCTTTTTTTATACATTTTAAGAAATTTCGGAAATATTTATCATGAGGTTACGTTTACACCCTTATTTTCCAGTTTCATGAATACGACCAAGTTAGCTGGAATATCACTGTTATTTTATATAATTAAAAAAAAACATAATTATTTTTATGTGCACCATTAATCAGTTTTATACAATGGTCTCAACATCTAATTAAAATTAGGATTGTGAAAGTACGGTAATTAGTTATAGCTAATGCTGGTTATGTAAATATTTTTACCGTGTTCATCTATACACGTACACTGATACACACATGTATATCTTTATATATACGTATTTCATTAAGTAAATTGTGGTTCTTTGCACATGTTAGGTTTTGTAGATATTTGCATGCATGTGACTTAACAATGATGGGACTACATAAGCATGCAAAATGGGTTGTACCAAAATCGATTATGACAAATAAAGTATACATAAGATATTGGCTAAGAAAAAAAAACTAAAGTTACAATTTCAAAGATATAATTATGCCTGATTTTTTCTAAGGAAGATGTGTCTTACTAACTACCCTTTATCCAAAGCCCAGAAAAGCTAAGTCACTTTTTCGTGTCAGCCAAACTAAGAACAAGTAGGAAACCAATGTGGTCTTTGGTGATGGAGAGACAAGATGATTAATTTTAATGTTTTAAGATAATTTTCTTAAATAATTAAAAACTATTTTTTTCTGAATTTACTTTTGTCTTTTTTGACTGAACAAGACACAACAGCAGCAACAACATCAAGAACGAGAAGAAGAACATAATGATGGGAAGATGGGAGGAAGGTCAGCCTCTGGATTGGAAGAGCTCATTATGGGCTGCACTTCTTCTACCACTCATCATGATGTAAAAGATGTAAGTTATTAATCCCTTTTTGACTCTTAATTTCATGGGAAAACCTCTTTTTATTACCATCATGTTTTTTATAAGTACCTAAGTATAAAATGTCATGCATTAAGTAAGATGTTGCAGTCATCATACGAGTGAAAGTGTGAAAAGGCTAAAATGAGAGTATTCTTGGATTCTCAATTAAAATGCAGGGTGTGTAAAGTTGGAAAAATAAATACTTTAAATAATAAAGAATCTTTGTAAAGATACTGTAATTGGTCGAAGATAGCAATGTAGGTTACATTTGAATAAAAGTTAGGAATATATTTTTTTTTATTAAAAAAATATCTTTTCCTTTTAAAATATTTTTCTTTTCTTTTTTCAGTTTTGCATGGGATGGATACTTAAGACTACATGTATTCCTTTTTTTTTTAGTTTATTCTTTACTTAAGTGGAAAGAGTTAAAACAGAGTTAAGTAAACAAAACCAGAAAAGATAAAGAAAGAGAGATATGTTTGCTTTTGTCATAGTTAGCTTTTTTACCTATAAATTACCCTTTCGAAGAACAATAGAAAATTGGTCAGATTCTTTTCTTTTTCCTCTTTATTAACCATTTTACAACTAACTTAGAAGGCAATGATGGTGCATTTATACTTATGTGAATATATTTATATATAATGTGTGCATATATGCAAATAAAGTATTTTCTCATGCGTAGTACCTCGCGAGACAAGTTCGGTGATAGCCATTAGTAGATTTCCTTGTGTTCTTGTGGGGGACAGCATGTCTGCACTCCTTTTTTTCTAGTCCGTCTAATTAAATCTAACTAATGTAATGTTCTTCTTATTATGTTCTACAATTATTTTAAATATGTAACTATATATATGGCATCATTAAAACAGTAACCATAATATATGCCATTAGTGGAATGCTAACAGATTATAGTCGGTAGATTCAGTTCAATTTTCCCGGGTCTAGTCCTGATTCATGTCTGTTTAGATTAGGAAAGAAGATCAAAGTGAGTTCAGTTCGGTGAAGTAGTCCAGTTAGTTTCCAATCAGACCGAATGAGATGAACTTTTTTTTTGTCAAAAAAAGAGTGAGAATGAGATAGACTTAGTTTGTTCAACTATGTGCGTATGCTCACACACTTATCTAGTTATATACTATTATGTATACTGAGAAGCAATTTTGATTGGTGCAGGGATCATCATCAATGGGGAACCAACAAGAAGCAGAATGGTTGAAGTACTCCACGTTTTGGCCAGCCCCTGACTCTTCTGACAACCAAGATCATCATGGGTAATTGTGCCATTTTCCAATCTGATGATCATGACCCACATCACAAAAAGATGTTACCATCATATGTATTATGATGGTCATCGTCATCAACATCATGACATCTCCATGGAAAACGGTATATCGATCGATCTTGGACCAATCAAGTTATATATGCATGAACCTTTTTTCTGAAAAAAAAAGAAAAAGAAGAAACAAACTATATATATTGCATGGTTTTGATATGGTGAAGGGGTTTTTTAAGCAGCACCAGAAATCAAGTGTTTTTTGTTATGTATTCAAGATGATTTTGATATTTAAATTTTAAAGAAAGGGGGAAGAAAAGGAAACAAAGTTTTTTTAAACATAAAAAAAAGCATGAGAGATAAAAGCTGTTATATTCCAAAGAGAAGAAGAGAAAAGCAAGGAAAATTGCATGAAAATCATCAACAGTACCATGTTAAATTAGATATAAGTATGCTTACGTATGTTTATTTTTATATTCTTTTCTTTGTATGTTGTCGTTTTTGTTTTGTGAATTAGGATGAACTCTATAATTTATTGGTCTTTTGTTTAATATATGTTGGTTAATAATATTATATACTTTCCCTATACTTTTCATGAGTTCATTTACTTTTGCATAGATAGTTCGTTCTCTTTTTGGTAATCCGACGCACTGAAACAAGTGTCACTTGAAAATCTGATACTGCACATTAGTATGTACGAAAGGTCGGTTTAATTGTAGAAGCATCTAAAATTAATTAGGTTCAAATTAAAATGTACATTAATAGTTTTTTTTAAACGGTAACTAGAAGACGGGGTTTAGTAGTGATAGTGTTAACAGGATAAGTTATTGTAAAGTCACTGTGGAATTATAGGTTGATAACGAATATCTTTATAATAAACACATGTTGAAAAAAAAAATCTGAAAAATGAATTTCTGTTAAACTTTGTATATATAATTAAGTAAGAGTGCATTTGTGATCGTGCAAGCTAGCTTTGGTTCGTTTGAAACAAGAGAGGAGGGAACTACACCCTGTAGACCTAAAATTGGTGACGAAATTTGTTTTCTTCTTTTTGTTTGAAATGTGGAATAATGGAATCTATGCCTAAAGATTAAGAAGTAATGTCATCTTACAAAAGCAATTGTCTATGTTTATGTCTGGTCTCTTTAGTCTTTAATGTTTTCCCATTTGCATACATATATATGCACTATATGTGTGTATATTTATATTGCAGCCTTCTTTGATGCTTTGTTCTCTACATGTATATATCTATATTCCGTTCGTTTTCTAGCATATTATCAAATGACCCCTATAACGGCCTAACTCATCCTTGGATATGTGGTAATGTTATAAGAAATTCAAATATTTTTACTTAATGGCTTGTTCCTAAAAGGCTAAAACCAAAAAATCCCTATCAGTTGTAATAATTAAAAAAAAAAAAGAGAGATTGAATACTGAAAGAATGTTAAGATTCATGCGATCGATTTCATAACTCTTGCTCGCTTAGCTATTATAGAGTTGGTGTAGAATTCTATAGCTACCGCAAGATTTAGACAGCAAATTACCAATATCGATCCAAGAGATTAGGTTTACCAGTTCATTCTCTAAGTTCTATTTGTGTTCATGTCACAATGGGAGAGGGAAAAAAAAAGCAATATCAAACATTGGGAGAGATGAGATGAGAAATGACCTTTTTGGCATGGATAGATTCTGAAACTGGAATAAAGGAATAAACAGACAATATTTACCTTTATTTCTTGGGAAGATTACTTAATTAGCACACATTCATTGATTTATTACTAGATTAGCTCTTTTTTTTTTAATTACTGACAATTATTTTATGTCCAAAAAGCCCTTATATCATTTGTTCTGAAAAAATATAATTACAAAAATGCCATTATTTTTCATTTATTTTTTAATAAAAAACGGAAAAAATATAACGAAATTGCCATTGTAAAATTAAGTCTATATAAAAAATCTATTACTTAATGATAACAGACTTAAATTAACCATCATATTTTAATTAGGTAACAGACTTTTATCACAAAGTTATTTACAATAATAACAGACTTGTTTCTTAATTCTATTGCATGGGACAACAGTTTTATTTTTTGTAGCAAACTTATTTACAATAACAGACTTATATCTTTAAGTCTATTCTATGAGACAACAGTTTTATTTTTTCTACCAGACTTATTTACAATAATAGACTTCTGTCTAGACTTGTTTTTTTTCTAATAGACTTATATCTGACTAGAAATCAAAGGTCACAGATTTTTTGCGTTGTGACCACAGATTTACTAATTTTTGGCAGACTTGTTTTTTCTTTACAGATTTATTTCGTTGATTTATTTTTCAACGGCAGACTTATGTATGTATATGCTTACAGATTTATATTTTGAGACCTCTATGATGATGGACTTAATATTAGTCTATATAAATCTGTTATCATTAACAGACTTATTTAATTTAAAATCATAATTACTAGATTAGCGTTAATGTGGTGGCAGATTTAAGTTTACGTTACAACAGATTTATATTTTTAAATCACTTGATTTATTTGGTGACAGTTTTTTTTTCCTACACACGCACAGATTTTTAAGAAATTTCATTCTTACCAAATTTATTATGTGACAGACTTGTTTATCTATGTTGTGACAGACTTAATGCTACAATTACTTTTGTAAAGAAATTTTGGTAAAAAATTGTGATGACGTGACATTATTGACTCGTTAATGGAAACAAAAATTAATGACTTTGGAAAAGACAAAAAAATCACTATCACATAAAAATTAGGTTTAGCCGTCGCTGTCTTCTACCTTTTCTGGAAGTTCTAATTTTTTCATGTTCATCACCACCTCTTGCTTTACGTTCTGATTTTTTCTAAACTCTGATTTCATTACATCCATTCTATATCAGGTATGACACAAATTATTCTAGTATGCGGTAAATGGATGTTCCAGGACGACAGATGGATATTTTTTGTTGATGACAAAAGAGGAAGCAAAATTATAGCAGCAAACGATAGAACAAGTTATGAAGATTTCGTTGGGATGGTGATTGAGGATTACAAAGTCGATTTTCGGATCTACGATGTACAATTGAGCTACATGTTTTCTAAAAAGATACTGCTTACACTACCGAAAAGTACACCACCGGTTAGGGTCACCAGTTGTAGACAGCTTCATGGCTTTTTGGAACAAGGAAAAGATAAGCCGTTGCACTTATGTGTCGAGCTTAAAGAGAAAGGTAGAGAACCAGTTATGTGTCCTTCGAAAAAGGAATCCGCAAATATCAAAGATCAAGATGACGATGAAGATGGTGATGAAGATGACGACGAGGATGGTGATCGGTTTGATTATTGTGACGATTCGGACGGAGCATCTTCTGGTGATGAAGATTTTAGATCGTACGGGACGCATCCAAAAGAAGAAGAGAATGAGGAAAAATCTCCAGCTGCGAAATTAGGTACTACGTCTACGAACACTCAACCAAAACGAGTTAGTCAACATGTTAAGTTAGAAATATCCTCACTTAACCTAGTTGTTGGACAACAATATGAGTCGAAACATGAACTAGAGACCAGGTTGAAGATTTTGTCGGTTCTACATCAGTTTGATTTTAAAGTCGACAGATCAGCGACAGACCTATTCACTGTTAATTGTTGGGTGGAAGGCTGTAGCTGGCGAGTAAGAGCGACACCAGTTGGAAAATCTGAAAAGTTTACTGTTCGTGTGTACATAGACAAACACACATGTTCTGTTACGGAGCGTTCTGCTCGTGCCCGCCAAGCTACTCCTGACATACTTGCATTACTATATGTGAATTCCGTTGGTGGTGTTGATTCAAAAGTACTACCAAAACATGTCGCAGAAGCATTAAACATGAGATTTGGTATCAAGGTATTATTTTGTCATCCTTTATTTTGTTTTATATCATAAATCATCCACTACAAATTTGTGAAATTTTCACTAGACGTTCCAAATTCATTGACTTATGTTTAACTTTTGTGTGTGTATTGTTTGAATTTTAGGTTGAGTTATACATAAGATGCCCATATATACGTCTATCTTGTAGTTGAATTTCTGGCTTTCTTATTCTCATGTTGTAATTTTTTTTTTTTGGTAACTAGATGGATTATTGGAAGGCCCATCGAACTCTTCTACGTGCAAGAGTTTTGGTTAGAGGTTCTCCAGAAAGTGGATACTCAGAGTTACCGACATATCTCCACCAGATAAGACAAGCAAATCCCGGAACTTTCACGCGTTTGGAAGTCGATGAGTTCCAGAGATTTAAGTATTTATTCCTTGCATTTGGTGCTAGTATAAATGGGTTTCCATTCTTGAGAAAGGTAGTTGTTGTTGATGGTACCTTTCTAAAGGGAAAATATAAAGGAACACTACTGATCGCATCAGCTCAAGATGGGAATTTCCAAATATTTCCAATTGCTTTTGCAGTCGTAGATACAGAAAATGATGATTCTTGGGAATGGTTCTTCCAGCAGCTTAGTAATGTGATTCAGGATGATGAAGGACTTGCACTTATTTCTGATAGGCACCAGTCTATTGGTAACGCTATTAAAAAAGTTTATCCCAAGGCTAGTCGTGGAGTTTGTACCTACCATCTGTACAAGAATATCTTGCAACGTTTTCGTGGTCGTGATGCATTTCGCTTGGTTAAGAAAGCAGCAAATGCTTTTAAAATATCAGATTTCGATGCAACATTTGATGAAATAGGAGTGTTGAATCCAGCACTACATAGGTACCTCGTAAAAGCTGATGTTAGAAAGTGGGCTCGTGTGCATTTCCCTGGAGACCGGTACAACTTAACTACAACAAACATAGCAGAGTCTATAAATAAAGCGCTTTCAGATGCGAGGAGTTTGCCAATAGTACGAGTATTAGATGCAGTGCGATCAATGATGACGAGATGGTTTGCAGATCGGAGGATGGATGCAGGATCAATGAAGACAACCCTGACTCGTGGCGTAGAGAAACTGTTGGAGGTACAAGCCAAAATATTT